GGGGCCTGCACACAGTAGGTGCTCAGGAAGGTCTCTTAGGAATGATTTGTGCAGATGCAAAAATCCCACCTGTGCATTGACGCATCCCCTTTACAGCAAATAAGCGTAACAATCTACTTGAAACCATCATAGTTAGATGAATAAAAGCGTGCAACTGTTGGCCAACCAAGGTCTCTTGGCTGGCTCTTCCTGAAAGAATCATTTCTGGGACATCCCTATTGTCTACTTTCCAACCAGCCAGGCCTCCCAGGATCTGCTGTCCCATAGAGTGAGGGGCCCTGGCTGCTCCCTGAGTCAAACCCACTAGTGGGCGAGGACCCCATGAGCTCTGAGGTGAGAATACCTGTGATGTCCCTCTGGCTCGGCTGCCCGTGTCTTACAAGGAAGAAGGCCTGAGGCGGGCAGGGATTAGGGGAGGGGAGGTGGCAGCTTTGATCTGTTGCCAAAGGGGGGGGGGGGGGGGGAGGGACGCTTTTCTCCAGACAAGCTGTTTGCTTACCAGCTGACTTCGGTGAAAGAAAAAAATATTCCCAGTGCCATCTGTTCCCAGAGTGAGGCTGGTGTGGGTCTGGGGCTTCCTGCAGCTCGGGCAGCCAGACCCACTTTCAGAATCCGAGACAGCTGCCCCTTGGATTATTTTGGGAAGCGGCTCAGCTCCGAGGCACCCGGGCCTTCGAGGCATTTCCCGTCACTCCGAAGCTGTTTGCGCACAAGCCCAATTGCCAGCTCCTTCTTGGGCCCTGGACAGTTTCCAGTTCAGCCCACGGTAATTATCCTGCTTCCAGCTCCTGCTGCGACTCCAGCTGGGGTCAGATTTCGTGGAATGGAGGAGAGAGGGAGGTGAGGGCCGTGGGCTCCCCAGCCACTCCCTTCTCAGGCTTCTTTGGGGGAGCCACTCCGCCCACCCAGCCTAAGCCCTGGGACCACCCCCCGGGCGTCCACCCTGTCCCCGAGCTCATCCCTCCTCTGGACTCTCCCCAAGGGTGCCCCCACCCCTTTGTGAGGGTTAAGCTCCAGGGGTAGGTGGGAGGAGGGCATCTCAGGCAGGGATAACAGCATCAGGAAGGCCTGGAAAGACCTTGGGGCTTTCAGGGAATAAACTAAAAGCATTTTGGAAAGGATGCGGTGGGGTAGGAGATAGAACATGGTCAACAAGAAGACACTCAAAGCCAGCCGCGCCAGGAGGACCCAGAGCATCGGGGAGCAGGGGAGGTTTAGAGCAGCATGGTAACGGGATCAGGTTCCCAGGACAGAAAAACTCCAACTGCTGCTGTGGAATCGGGGTCAGAGGGGAGAGCGGCAGAGAGCCCAGCTGGGGAATTACTGTACCCACCCCGATGGATGGCACGGCGAGGGCCTGGACCTCCAGGGGCAGATGGGAGGAGTTTGAAAGGTGAACAAAGGGCAGAAAGGACTTGGTGCCCAGGTGGGGGAAACGGGAGGGTCCAGAGCGAGTCACAGGCCTCAGGCTTTGGGATCAGGAGGTTGGAGGGGCTGGAAAAAGGGCTGGGGAGTCAGAGGGCAGGACAGGGGAAGGGGTGGGTTCTGACTTCAATCGGGTGAGTTTGGGGTGGGAACCCCAAGGGGCCCTGTGTCCAGGGCAGTTCAAAATGTGGGTCTGGTCAAGCAGGAGCATGGTGGTTGCCAGGGGCCGGAGGGAGGGGTGTGGAGAGTTACTGTCTAACGGGTACAGAGTTTTGGTTTTGCAAGATGAAAAGGGTTCTGGAGATGGTGGTGACGTCGGCACACAGGGCGAAGTTAACTTAATGCTACTGAACTGCAAGTGTTACGATGGCTAAAATGGAAAATTTCATTATGTGTATTTTACCACAATAAAAAAATTTTTAATGGACTCAACCCTCCGTTAAAATGCAGAGGTATTCAGATCAGATAAAAAGACACAACTATTTGTATCTATAAGAAACCCTCTTTATATATAAAGACACGGATCTTTTAAAAGGAAAAGAATAGAAAAGATCCCCCACTAACACTAAAAGGAGTGGCTGTATTAAAATCAGATTTTAACATCTGATTCAAAGTAAAAAAATAAAGTAAATTTAAAGTCTAAAATTAAAGTAGATTTCAGAGCAAGAAATGTTACAAAAGGATAAAGAGGACATCAAAAGGCCGTGACAATCCCCGATGGGCATGCAGTTGGGCACTAGGTGGTCTCTCTCTCTCTCTCTGCTCCCATATCCCCCCCTCTCCCAGTGGCCCCCCATCCCAGGTACCCCTCCCTGTACCTGGAGCCCAGCTCCTGTCACCTGCCCAGGTACCTCCCTCCGGTAAGATTTTCCCTCTCACGTTTCATCTTTTCTCTTCTGCACCCTCCCTGTGAGCATTTAAACAGGCTCAAGCCTCCGCACTCATAAGAGGTCGCATCCCCCGAGGCCCCACTTTCCGTCTTCATACCAGGCTCCCTGAAAGCATGAAATCGAGGCCCCCCCCATCCCGGGGGTCGGGGCTCTCCCCCTTCCAAAACCCCTCCCCCGAAGGTTGGCCATCCTCACCCTTGTTCAGTTTGACAGCAAATCAAAAAAAAAATTTAAATCGATTTTTGTAGCTCTGTTGAGGAATAATTTACAAAAGGTAAATTTTCCCATTAAGTGTACGATTTGATGAGTTTTGACACATGTGGACAGTCACGTAACCACAACGATCATACATAGAACATTCCCGTCACCCCAAAGTTCCCTCCTGCCCCTACCAGGGTTTCACCTTTTCTAGAATTTCTTATAAATGTGTAGCCCTTTGTGTCTCATTTCCTTCACTTAGCCTAATGTTGTTGAGAGCATCCAGGCTGTTTTGTATCAACACCCTTTCCTCTTTGTCGCTAAGCAGAAGCCCATTATACAGACACATTCTAATTTGTTTATGCCTTTGCTGGCGATGGACACTTGGGCTCTTCCCAGTCTTTGGTTTTTATGAACAGTACTGCTAATCATGTCTAAGCCTTTGTGTAGACATATGTTCTCATTTTTCTTGGATAAATACCTAACAGCGAAATGGCTGGGTCATATGGTGAGTGTTTGTATCACTTTATAAGAAATTGCCAAAATGTTTTCCAAAGTAAATGTACCATTTTGCATTCCCACCAGCAATGTATGAGAATTCTAATTGCTCCACGTCCTTGTCAACACTTGCTATTGTCAGTTTTTCAATGCAGCCATTCTAGGGGGTGTATAGTGAGATCTCATTGTGGTTTTAACTTTATTTCCCTAATGACTAATGGTATTGAAAATCCGTGTTAGTCAGCTCTGGCTACTATAATAAAATACCATAGACTGGGTGTCTTTAAAAACAGACATTTACTCCTCACGGTTCTGGTATCTGGGAAGTCCAAGATCAAGGTGCCAGATGATTTGGTGCCTGGTGGGGGCCCTCTTCCTGGTTTGCAGATGGCCACCTTCTTACTGTGTCCTCACATGGCAGAGAGAGAGCTCTGATCTCTCTTTTCTTATAATGACTCTAATCCCATCACAGGGGCCCCCTCCTCATGGTCTCATCTACACCTAATTATCTGTGAATCAGGAGGTAAGGGGAGCATGTGGATGGTGGGTGGGTTGGAGGGAAGACCACTCTGAGACTCTCTCACACTCAGACACCAGCTCCAAGGGTTCCTTATGTCCCTCCCTGTAGGCAGGACATTCTCCACTCTCCAGCAGCTGGTCTGGCAAAGATGGCGGCCCATGCCGGCCCCCTGCCCCAAAGCCCCTCCCCCAATCCAAGGCTGTCAAACTGTGACAACCCCAGACCTAGTAGGCTCTGTCCTCCACAGGGGCTTGGAGCTGGGAGAGCAGGAAGGAGCCCAGCACCAGCCAGGGTCCACCGCCCCGCCCTCCCCTGTGGGCCCTCCCTACCCCCAGCCCCATCCACCCTGCTTCCTCCAGGCTGGTGCCCATCTGATGTCAGCTCTGGGAATCCCTGTTCAATCCTCCCACAGGGACTTTTGCTTTGAGAAATGTATGCGGCAAGTGCTGAGTCTCGCTGGAGAGAGACAGACAGACAGACA